TTTGCCTTCTCTTTGAATTTCACCCCGTGAAATTCACACGTCCTCTGATAATTCCGTTGAAAAACGCAAACGAATTCACAAACTCATAAATTTCGAATTATGGCGGAGTGGAAGATGCCGAGAATGAAAGAAACCGACGGAATGAGTTGTGTCAAGAATCCGCGGTTTTTTACAAAAAAAAAAAAACATTGATTCGTTTTTGTGGAATCATTAGGATCCCATCATCCATAAAATTCATGAATCCCTCTCTCTCTTTTCCAACCAGAAAATGCCTTTCCAACAATTCTCAAATTCAAAAATAATGAAAAAAAAGCCAATTCCATTTTTCCTGTTTTTTTTTTATTCTTTATTCTTTTCCTCAACTCATTTCATTCTCTCAGTATGAGAGATAATTAATCTTAAAGTTGGAATGACTAAAAAAGAAAGGGAGGGGATGTTCCCTCCGGGATAAAAGGGTTTTTAAGGTTTGAGTGTTGAATTTTTTTTTAAATCCCCATCACTGAAAATAAATGAGTTGATGGGCCAATGTGTGCGTGAGGAGCAATTCCTTTTCACTTCGGGGCCGTTATCCTTTATTTTCTCATATGAGATATTTTTTCTACAATCTCATTCTCATTTTCCCCCGTTTCTCAACGTGTTAAGGGAGTCCTTAATCATCGGAGGAGTGATGTTTATGAGTGCTGGTCGCTATTTTCGGGATGGGTCTTTGTGGTATTGGAGTGGTCCGAGGTTTTTGAAAATTCGGGGAGTGATTGAGGGATGACCGATAGGACAATGGGATTTTTTTTCGGCATTCAAGGGCCCTCGGGTGATGATTAATTGTCTTCGGGTGAGAAATCTATCTTATTTAAATTTTTATTCGAGATACCAGAGGAAACGAATAACTATTAAAATAAATAATATAAAACGAAAAAAGGGCTTCTGATGTACAAGTGCTGTTGTACAGTCTTAAATTCACATTAACTCGTTAAAATTATTCAACCTGATGCTCCGGTTTCAACATCATCCCTCTCAAATATCACTCCTCTTCAATTTCATTCCGTAAAATTCTACAATTTGACACTTTATTATTTTTTATTTAAATATGTGGAGATATTTAATTTTCAAGGATTTTTCCTTTTGATTCTGTGAATTTGAATGTCTGTCGAAAATAATTTACAATTTAAATGATCGATCTGTCTTTTTTTGCGTTGACATTTGCGTAGGCTTAACGATTGCTCCTCAATCGGATAATACTTTCAACAATTTTAGGGACACCTGCAAAATTATAAACGGGATTGACGAAAATATGGAGTAAAATGTGCGACGGATTATGAATAAATTCATGAGGCTGATATTTTTTATTAAGTATCCGAGTTCCGTTGCTCTGTCGATTGGGTTTAGTGGTGGGACTATCTTCGGGCTAAAAATGTGTGAAACAGTTACGATAATAATACAGGCTTGATACAGAATTATCGGATAATCCGTCTTGGCGTCTTTGTAAAAATAATTTTAGAAATATTCACCGAGGTAATTTCGTTTTGTAAACTCATCGTCAGTTCCATATTAATTTTCCCTGCATTCAATGCGAAAAAAAAAATTGGAAATGACCACTAATTGCGGGCCAAATCGCGTAACTTCGATTTTAATGCAGTGATTGAGGATTCCTCATGAAGAACCGATTACTCGAATAAAATATGAAAAAAATCTACAATGTGGTACTTCCAATTATCAAAGGTCAATTTCAACCGTTCACGCTAAATCTCACGTTTCAAAAGAATGAAAAAACTTCTTCCAAAAAAAATCTGGAGCTTCCCTCACGCACTGTATCACAATTCCCACTTTTACGAGATACTTAAACCTTTAAACGGGTCACACGGGGTGTACATGAGATGCTCCCGTCTCACATTTCATTGAAAAAAAAAAAATGAATTGGGGAAATCGGTTAACCCCGTATCTGCGCGGATATTTTTCTCAGGGATTAAATCGAGCATGCGGATTTCTGGGGTTTCCCCTGCATTCCCCCACTCATTCACGAAAAAAAAATACAGGTAGATATATTATTACCCGAAAGGTGGTATCTACCTGCGCACGCGTACCGAGGGTGACGAAAAGAACGGGAGAAAAAAATGGGAATTACGCAAAAAATCGGGGAAGGAGATTACGAGAAGTGGAAGTGAAGAATTGCGGAGGGTTGTTTTTTTTCGGGGGTTCGAATGGGGTAAAAGTGAGTTAATAGTCGGTAAAACGGTACTCACCCCTGACCCTGGGCTACAATTCCCTTTTTTTTTGAATCCCGTTTTTTGTAACGGGAAAGGGGAAAAAGGACCTTTGATACGTTTCCTCTATTTTAGTTGAATTTTTTTGGGGTTTGGAAATTTGAGAGATGAACGAGGTAAAAATGTTCCTCGCCCTTGAGATTTTTTTTCTGACAATTTACTTCCGGGTTGTCGAATTTTTAATTACGCAATTATTGTGATTTTGAATTTTCAGTCCATCTCGAAATATCTCGAAATATCTCAAATGACCGTAAGGGCAAGACCCGTGAAAAAAATATTGACAATTTAAAAATTGTCGTGTTATAGGTTGAAAATTAGCAACAGAATGGGATGAATGAATTTCTCAGTCTGCGAAGGGATTAAGAAAAACGTAAAAAAAATCAGCGAAGAACGGTTAAAAATCATGAATAGAAAAATTTCTCATCCTCCCTCTCGTGTTTCACCATCTTGATATAAACTGCAAACCACCACTTCTTTCATTCCATTCACCGGGGGGTCCATTTCCCCCCCGAAAGTCTCTTTTCCATCCTTTCCACAGGTATCTCTCGCCTCTCGCCAATATTACACAATAAAAATTGGGACTAGTCAGAAGTTTCTGTTCGAAAAAACGGAATATCCTCATATACCTGGATCACCCCCTGGTCTATCCTCGAGCATCTCAGGTAGCTTCCAAATAAAGAATAAAAAACGAGACGCGAAGGAAGTGGAGAATAAAAAAAAAACGGGGAAAAAGGCGAAGGGAAGGCTTAAGTGAGTCCCTCACCCCAGCCTCCCCTTTCCGCTTTCCCAAGGGTGGATCGATGACGCGACTCAAAAATTATGTAACAACCCCTTGCATCCCGTTTCACATTTTTTTCCATCCATATTTATTTTTCCACGTTTTCCCGGCGACTTCCCAGGGTTTGTTATTTCATCCATCATACAGATGTCGACGGATGCGACAATTTATTGGGGCATTTCATGCTGAATCAGTCGGTTCAGGATTTTTAACCGTTTTTTTGAGTCTTGGAAAAAAAATGGGGGTAATAATTTTGACAGCAATGCGAGGGTGATTTTGAAAATTATTTGTTTAACGCGTTTATCGAATAATTCCTGAGTTTGTGAATTATTCGACTGGCATTCGTGGTCTGAATGTTGTTTTTTATAAGAGATATCGTGTACGATCGTTAAGTGCCATGATTTTTAAACGGAAAGAGCGATGTTTGGTCTTTTGGCTTGCCCTAAGGTTCCCCCCACCGATTTCGTATGTGCACCGTTCACAGCAGGACGCCTGTGTTTCTCGCGTTTCGAAATATCTCAACGTTGACCCGATCGTTATTTGAGAAATTTCAGGATTTCTTTTTTATTCCAAGGGGTTCTCTGTTTACAATGAAAAATACCGGGTGATTCCACGAGAATAAATATCATTTCTCCACCGCTACAACTATCTCCGAATCATTTGAATTCTCGTTTATCCGGGAATTTATCGTTTGGGCTGAACCCTTTGAGAAATTGGGGATTTAAAGGGCAATTGTCACGCACCTGTTTCAACGTTAAAGCTGTTACCGGGAATTGGGAATCGAGACGACTCAATTTTACGTTTTTTTTTCCTGAAAAAAAAAAAAATATATCGGGGTCTTCTCCCTCTCCGTTGCCACCGGGTGTTTGTAACCCCCTCTTCGAAATTATGGGTACAACCCTCTGATTCTCCCTCGACCAATGGGAAATCTTCATGCGGTACCCCCCACCCTCGCCAGACACCTTTCCCTCAGCGTTTCCCCCGTTTCCCCATTTTTGGGAAAAATTCCGGGTCACGTCGGGCAGTCTTGTGGGATCGGTGGCCCAGGGTATTTAACTCGGGCCCCGAGCATTTAAATTCCACGTGTCACTGTGACTTTAATTTTAAATATCGGGTCCATTTTAATTTTTTTTATTTATCGTTCAATTCTTTTCGATTTATTCCTTGATCTGATAAAAATAAACTTAGTGAATTGACGGTTTGAATTTTTCGTGAGTGAATTAAATGATTTTCAATTTCAATTTTTTTTTTCGAATTTCAAATACCTCCATTTCACAGCTGTTAATCTGCCTTCTCTCCTCCGCCTCGAAAAATCAAATTAAATCTGTATCCAATTAAAAATCTCCAATCGAATGAAAGAGCCCCTAAAATCGGTTTCAATCTGAAAATCCAAAATCAATCGCACTGCAACCGCCATAATTCTCATAAAGAAATACGACTGGCCCATAAAAAAAATAGTCCCGCAGAAACGAGAATAAAAGGATTGGCGGACCGACGTGCAGTTCTAAATCATAAACCCGATGATTTAGCGCGACTCCAAGGCTCCGAGATACGAAAATTCGTGAGTGCAGTAACCAGTCATCTTCCCTGTCGATTTAATTACTTTTTCACTCATCCATTAAACCACGAACTCCATTTTAGTCTTCCCCTGTATTTGTTTGATTATTAAATAAATAAATCTCGTCAATCAATCAACATCCACCTCTAATTGAACCGTTTCGAGAGGAAAAAGGGCTTCTCGTTTGTGTAAACAGAGCATAAAAATGTGAGGGGCAAATGTGTCTGGGGAAATGAGTTTCAATGTCTATTTTCATAGCGTCAGAAGGAGTCAAATGAATTTTTGGTAATTTATCGAGAATGAATTTTAGAAAAAAGCGATATTTTTTTTGACATTTTTCTACTTGCCAAATTATCACATGTCATGATGCGGGAAAATTTTAATTACCCCATTTTATTGTTTCCAGGAAAAGTCAGGGTGAAAGAGGAGAAGGACGGCTCATCAATGGCACCAGGTAGTCCCCCAACACCACCCCACACCCCCCAAAGTCCATCGCGCCAACACAATCCCTCCGGTAATTTGTCCCAATCAAGTCAAACCCAAAACACTGTCCCAAGTCTCCCAAATCCTCTCCAAACACTCGCCAATTCACCCCTAAGTCAGATACTCATACAGAATCCCGCATTAGCACAATTGTTACAACAAAATCCAGCAATATTGTCCCAAAATCCACAATTGGCCCAGTTACTGCAGCAAAATCTTCAGGCACACATGGGAAATGTATTGTTCCCAACAAATTCGAGGAGAGACGAGTCTGAAGAATCACGGGTAAGTGAAAAAAAAAAAATACTATTATTCCCCCCAAAACGAATTTAATTTACCGTTCACTGAACTCCACGATTACAACGCATTAATACCGGAAATAACGAGAAAAATTAGATGACAATGGAAATAACTTCCTATGCGGGTCTCTTTTCTCCATCAATTATTCTGAATTGAACCAATTCTCCCTTCAATCACCTCGCGGAAGAAAAGACAAACAAGTCCCAGGTCTGAACAAAAATTCCAGCCATAACCTCAAAAAACGACAACTGAGTAATTTTACTCATAGGTTATGTTCGAATGGATATATCCATAAATACTTAATACAGCTGATCGACAATCAGACACGCCTGTATAGATTTCCTCGAACGAGTGGGGAAGGGTACAAGACCATTGTTTCGTCGTTAATCGTTCATAGCGAATGAAATTTTTAACGGCCGGCAGTTAACCTTAACGAACGCCTCGAGCCCGCGGGCAACATGACTCGTCCAGCCACTCATCTCTTTTCCCCCTCACCGCTTCCAATTCCTCATAAATAAATTTTCTTTCGGAATGCACAAGCATAACCTCAAAATCCCACAGAAATTCCCGAAAACCTCGAGAACCGCTCACCCTACGCAAAAATGTCATAAGAAATTTTTCTCCACCGCGAAATTCCCCACAAAAAGTTCCTCCAACATTTTCTCGTAAATCCCATAACCACCGAGATAAATCCCCGGTACGAATCCACCCCCATCGTTTGAATTTCTAACCAATAAAAAAAGCACCGAAAACCGCGGGAAAATTTCAAATTCCTTAACTCGACAGCGGTGAGCCTATATTTTTCATCGACTCCACAGTCGGAGGAGAAAAAAATGTGAAAAATAATCTGCAAAAATTGTTATGCAAAAAGAATTCATACAAAGGCATTCACCTCGAGAAGGGGAATCCCCTCTTTCTTTCCGCCTTGTCCTGAGTATATATTCCATACGTTTATTTTCAGCCAAAGAATTGAAATTATTCCTCCGATTTTTGTCGTGTCGTTTACATTACTTTTCGCCTTTGAATATTAATGGGCATATGCTCTTGTGGCACACAGAAACTGCGTTATGGAATATATACGCGGGAGAGAGTGAGTACTGGAGGGGAAGGGGAGCGGGAGGGGTGGTAGGAGGAGAAGACGAAGAAGAAGTAACAACGGGCAAACGCCGGTATAATACTCGACTCTTAACGTTATTCTATTGTTTGCAAATCAGCTCTATTGTTTTCTCATATATACCCTAACGTTGGCACACCAATGGGTGCCCCTTTCCCTCCCCCTGCATGTTCACCCCCCCTTTACCCCTCTTCCATTGGTATCTGGCGCTCCTGGCGCCCCCTCCAATGACCAACGTCACAAGTTGTCTTTTCTTCATCTCATCCCGTGGATTTAATGCCCTCATAATGCTGTTATGGTGGACTCTATGAATTTATGATGAATTTTATTGATGGAAAATGGAATGAAAAAAGGGGAATTGTTGTAATTGAGTTTTAAAGAGTTATTTTATGGAGAAATTTTGAGGTTATGGTTGTTTTTTTTTTGTTTATCGACTATTAGATTTAATGGTTTTTTGAAAATTCATGATTAAACATTTTTGACCTGAATTCTATCTCGCTGTATTTTCCATGTCGAGGCGATTGCAATGTCTGATTTGAATTATAAATTCCCTCCCGGGTCGAATAGGGCTTCGGAAATCGTACAGGATTCGAATAATTTCGCGCAGCTCTGCGGCTTCCTGTCCCCTCTTACAATTTTCTTATTATTTACTCGGATCTCATCATTCACACTGTCCTAAAGCTTCCCAATCAGCGTCACTGATGGAATGAATATATCTTACTCTTGTGTACCGACAGCAACGAAAATCAAGTTCGTCTACCTCTGGAGCCCATTCCAATCAGCGTAAAATCGAAATTCTAATTAATTCGCTTGATATTGTCCGGAGGGACGGAAAACAAAAAAAAAATAAATGGGGGGAGACGAGGAGTTGAGTGAGCTCGATGCCGGAAGCTCGTTTGAATATTCGATGTCATTGTACGCTGCATGGCAAGGTCATCGATCCTACGAGGGTCTTAAAAAAAAAATCGCCATCCACCAATTTCCCAACATTTAAACATCTTCAATTCTTCAAAATTCCCGCTTTAAATCTTGTTTCTTATTTTCAGGTTCCACCGACGATAGCTAGCCTGGCAGCAATGAAGGTGGATGCAGGTGATCCAAAAGTTTCCGGTGAGTACTAAAAAAATAATCCAACGTTAAACAATTAAAAATTATCCTCCTCCGCCCGAAAGTCCCAATTTTGAGGGGAATTCCCCCTTTATTGGAATATCCGCCTATTGACTGAGCGCTTGATAAATTATACCGCACATTAACATAGTACCGACAATCCCATCATTTCCCATGATCCGCCATTTTAGAAATTTTATTATAACTTCAATGGCGGTTAATTTCATTTCCCTACCGTCATTGTTTGTCATCATTGGAGAAAATCCCCTCCGAGCGAGTCCGAACATAACCAACAATAATTCCGGTCCAGAAAGCGAGGGGAATCCCCTGTCCCTAACCAAAAAAAAAAAAAAAAAAGAAGAGAGAACTGATGGAGTTTAAAAACTCGTTGAAATATGTATATAAATGTTGGGAGTTGAGACGGTGGATAGTTGAGGCCAGCAATCAAAGCTGATTAAGCCCACAACTGGGGAATCTGTGGGGCCAGTGTCTCACGCCAATCTCGCCCAATCAGGCGCGTTTGAACGGGGAGATTTAAAAAATAGAATGCCTACTGTCAATTGTCCCATAATTTAAATAAATCGAATAAATGGACAAAGTGGCCAATTAGATGTAGTTTGCTTGGGCTTTGGCTTTGGGGCCCTTTAACGTATTATTTCATTTCTCTGTCTTTCTCTCTCACTCCACGTAACTCTCTCTTATTTCGTTGGTCTTTATTCGCGGTGCACATAACCCCTTCAGATATTGTTGAGTACAAATGCCCGGGTTATTGTCACCTCGGTGTGAAGGACCTCTTGATGCACATTGAAATCAACAATTGCCATTTGTTTTTTAACCGACCAAACGACGATCGCTATTTTCTCCTGACAACCGCGATAAATAACGCGGTTTCATTTAATATTCATTACTTTTATTGTCTTCATTTTAGAAAACGGCAATCATCGTTAAAAATTACCGTGCAACGTGCAAACGGGAGCCTACGATAAATAACTGGTGCATATGTACGAATAGCATGCATCGGGCCTCACGGCTCTGCACGCCTCAGGCCCCATATTCCCATTCATCTTTTTTTATTATTATTTTTTATTTATTTTCTTACGACTTACAAACCTACCCCTCCGCCTCCTACTCGCGGCACGTCATCGGTGGCCACACGAGCCCCGACTTTCTTCACAGTGGGACAATTTCTACGATTTCAGTCATTCAATTTCCATAATTCAAATCTAATTTGAAAAATATTCGCTTGCATCAGATAATTTTTTTTAACTGGTAAAAATCTCGCACAAGATTAACCAATAATTTTTCCATACGTTTAATCACTCAATTTTTTTTTTATTGAAACCCCGCGAAATTCTTCTTCATCATGATGAAAGACTCTAATTGTTCAGCAGGAATGAATGAAACCCGAGAAATCTCGCCTATTCATATTGCGTTTTCTTGAATCCCCCGTTATCACCAGTCACGCATCTCTCTGCACGTCCCTCATTCGCGCCGGTTACCCTCTTCCGAGACTATCATAACGCCTTTCCACTCGGTTGGCGTTGAAAACAAGACCCAAAACAACGAAATAAACAATGAAAAATAATTTTTTAACGAACACGAATAGTTGAGACGAATCCATTGAAAATCAATTCTTGATTGACTCCATTGAATCCGTCGAATGTTTACGCCCGGAATTTTTATCGATTCCCCGAATCGTCTCAATAGTCCCCTGCTTTATTTTTCTTTTTATTTCATCATTTAAATTGAATTTCATGGCTCATTGGAAACCATTTAAACCGCTTACGGGGATTGTAATCCCCTTTGTTGGAGCCACATGTCCAAAATGTGACAAACAAAATATATTCCCCCACCGATACTCAGAATTCACCAATCCTATCACCCGTTCTACCCCACTTCTCATCAAGATAATTAATCATGTCTGATTTTTTGCAATTATAGTTACCGAAATATTGAGAATTTGGCAAAAACTTGTTTGCATACCACAGATTGTCCCAAAAAAGAACCTAGAATTATTTAATCATATAAATTAGTCCCACCATCAGATGCCTAAAATGCCGAGAAAAAAATTTTTATCCCCGAATATTTGATGATTGTCCATTCGCCCCGTGTTTTAATACCCCTTCTGATTCCTCAAGGCTCACCGTTTTTATTATCAAAAAGTTGAAAAAACAACGATTGAAAAGGGTTTTAGAGTTGGAACCCTCGAAACTCAAGCGAATTCGACAATTTTATATTTGAAATTTATTATCGCCCTCCGTGGGGATCTGTGAGAGATTTCGTTTTAGAGATGATAGAGTGAGACAGAGTGAAGGGGAAGAGGGCCCACCTCATCCCTTCTCGCCACTGTTGTGTGGGGGCCGGCGGTGCCGCCGACGGTCTAATTTATCGTTCCTCAACTTTTTATTAATTTCGGCCATTCGAGAATCGGCGCAAGGGGCCAATGGCCACTCGCCACGACGCATTAAGGAACACCGTGGCATATATCCATCCTTTTCTCCCTCATTTCTCTTTGAGGGGAGCGCTCCCCCACTGTTGAGGGGGCTTACCTTACCTTACTCTTACCTCCCCACCTCCCCCGTAGGAATGCAGTTCTAATTTTTCGCTCCGTCAGGATACCGACCTGACAAAAATCCACTTCCAAAAGTCCAAGTCCCCCATAGCTACCATAGAAAACCTACCCTTTTTGTCCATTTTCGTTGATTAAGGAGCACTAATTGAATTTCGTTTAGTTTTCGGATTCAGGGGTTGGGGGGGGCTAGGGGGCTGGGGGGGTTCCCAGCATTCGAGAATTCAAACCGCTTTGCCACTTTTCGAAGTAATTTATACAATTTTAATTGATCTCCATCGACGATTCCTTGGGATTTCACGCAATTATGGTGATTTGGCTGTTAGTAAGATGATGATTTCTTGATGGATCTCTCTTTTCTATTTTTCCATTTCTTCAGGTACATCACGTATCACAATTAATTATTATCGTCAGCATTCGGTTATTTAAATAAAATTCGAAGTTATAAATTTCTACCCGGTGCGCACAGCTGTCGTCACGATGACGAGAATCTCCTGATCCTCCAAGAATAAACTATCGCAATCGACCAATAAAATTTGATGATTAAAGATTTATTCATCGACACACGTTCAAAACACAAATCATTGCCAAATTGTTGCAGATAAGAGTCATGATAGAATCGTTGAGAAGCGTGACTATTGCGAAAGACTGGCTCTTGAATAAAAAAAAAAGAAGACTTGAGAGAAAAAAAAAACCGATACATGTTGAATCATCATACAGATCAGAGTGTGTGATAGTTTGGCTGATGCATGTGAGGTTGTCCCCAATATCGACAACGGATCGGGAAAAGAAACTATTGGCAATCGTTGCATACCGTCCTCGAAAGAATTGGAATCCACCTTTACATCGGGGTTGTTTGAATCGCAATCCAATCTCGTTTTTAGCTATAAGTATAAATGATTATATATGTCTTCAAAACCGTCCCAGTTTATTCTTCTTTACATGACCGACATCTCAAAGCCCACGTCCCAAACTTTTGTTACCACGCATCGATGACATTTTACGGCGTGTGCTATGCCAAGATAACTCATCGCATAGCATGAGCGGCCATCAACATTCCCTAAAATAAAATCTAAATCATTATAATTAAATCCAGTAATTGCTGGAACATCTCGATTGGTATCGATCAATAATTTTCCATAAATTCGAGCCCAACCAGACACATCGAATGGTCCAGAGTCCATTAAACCGATGCATCCCCGCAATTACGTCTCGTTAAAAAGTGACACATTCGAAATTCAAGAAGGCCAATAAAAATCCCATTCAATTGACGCCATGAAAATAATTCATCGAAATAAAAAGAAAATCATCGAGACATTTCCAACAACGCATGACAACCTTCACCAATAATGATAATTAATTCTGGCCATGATCAGTAATATACAAGAGGAGAATGGTCAATATTTAACCTCAAAAGTGGCAAAAAAATTCCTATGATAATTTCATTAAATGACGTAAATCAAAATCCATCAATCACAGTCAGCACTTGGCGCCTTGGAATTATTTTTCCCATTCTCAGTGGCTTTTTTTTAGCCACCGCGTAATAATAATGTCTGGATGGAAAACGCCAGAAATAAATTCCGAAACCAGTAGGTTAACGTCTACTATTTCCAGATACGAGTAATCGCGGGTGAGAAAGTTGGTGACGAGTCGGGAAGGAAAAAAAAAAGTGAAAAGATGCGAAGGGGTGGGTGAGGAAAGGCGAGGGTTAAAAGAGAAGCCTGACCTCGACTCTTTCCATCATTCGAGCATTCTCACACGTTAGTGGCATCAGCAGACGGCTTTTTCCTCAATTTTTTTTTCTTCCTTCCCTACGTGCAACAGATGTCTCGAGTTAGATAACAACCCCGAGGTCCCCAGATTTTCACGCTCAATCGTTGCAACGCGCAAGAATTACTCTCATGTTATTTTCATGCATTTTAATTGAAGAATTTATTTTTTGGTTGTCGAGTTTTGGCGGCTTGCAAAAAATTGGTTAAAACCTTCCCACAGACCCTCGACGAAATAATTCAAAACTCTTGAAAAATTATTTTAGGGGTTTGAACAACCCCTTTTTTCTCATGAATATATTTTTTACCCGTACCATTCTTCTTTACCGCAATGACTTGACAAAAGGCCAGAGTGTAAAACGCAAGGATTGGACGATTGTTTTTAGGTTGTACTATAAACGGTTTTTGCCAGTGTGTTGAGCCTTCCGAGCATCCGGAGGCTTTTCTTTTAGGGTTAAGATGAAAAAGCTCTCATCGTACTGCTTGCCAAATCATTCGGATGGAATCGTAGAAATTTAAAAAATATTCTAAATTTAATTTAGCGTCTTACACGTTGGAACGAGCCACTGTGACTGCAGTTGTAGTTGATGGTAGATCGTGTAAATGTGTTGTTTGCCTTTCGAAATCGTTAAGGACTGCCAATGCCTCGTGAGTGAAAAATAGACGGGTTTGATTCCGAGACAAGTGACATGATGAAAGGGGGGTGGGGTGATCAGAAGTGAGAGAGAAGATTGACAATAGGATGAGTTGAATGCGGCTGACGGAGGTCAGTGCTAAAAAATTTTTATCCATCGAGACTAGGATCGCGGAAGAAACGTGGGTAAAAAGTAAAAGAAACTGTTTTGGTTGACATTTTCGATGTATTTTCAGTAGATTGGGAGTAGAGACACTAATAGAAATAGTGAGGATTGTTTAGATTGTCGGAATTCTACTTTTTGCACGATCGCTTTAATGATTCTCCGGATTTTCCCCCTCATCCTGACGTTCTATCATGTGAAATTGATTTTCGCTAATTTTCGGCTTTGTTGATGATTTTTAGATCGTTCCCCTTCAGGTCGCGGTAATTTTGAATTCTGTTCGATACCAACCGAGATGTATTAAATATTAAGTGAGAGGAATTCCGTGGAAGTCTCGACGTTATCGTAGACGAATTCAAATCATCATCGACAACCGCTTCGAATCGGAAATAAAGGAAACAGAATTTTCAATACTCGAAGCTCTTCTCTGCGTGATGGTCCATGAAATAACGTTGTAAACTTTATTGATCCATCACCAGTTGCCCCCAATTACTCACCGAAACCAGGGGTTAAGCCATCATCAGATGCCCTGAAAGAATGACGAGGGGGTTGAAAAATATATTTCACCGAGCAATTTAGCCGTCAAAAAAAGTGTTTGAAAATAAAAACCCGTGATATGCAATGATCCAAAATACACTACACCCCAAAGGCAATATATAATCTCTCCAATGTATTCTCGATCATATCCTATCGCGGAATCGAATTTCTGTTTTGACAGCGGCTCGACCATCCACAGTACCTCGAACACATTTTTTCTTTTCATTTCAAGGGTAACTGAAAAATTTTTCAGATGGGCTCTAAAAAACCGGGGAACAATAACCCCCTCCGACAAAAACTAAAGAGATGAAAGTAGGTAGAAAGAGAGGGGGCAACCCCCTGCAATCCACAGGCACCACTCGACCCCCCATTCTCTATTTGAATTTGTCGAAAGGGTTCGATTCTGTTTATTTTCAAGGATAGCAGGGGGTAGCCTTTCCTCGACAAAACTTTCATATCTCGGGCTAATGTTACATAGGGGCAAAATCTCTCTCCATCTCCTTTCATCCACAATAAGTTACACTGAAATAAAAAAAGAGAAGAAAATGCTATATGTTGAGCCTAATGCCTCGTCGCCCAGTTGAAACTTTAGAAACTAGCCGACGAGGGGGTGGACAAAAAAAAAAATCCACCACCGGGGAGAAGTACATATATTGAGTTTTAGAAAATGGGGTGGGGTAAAAAAGCCCACGGGCACTAAGCAGTAAGTACCGGGACTTGAAAATGAAAAAAAAAAAATATATATACGTGAAATCCCATGCGCGAATCCAGAAGGGTGATTAAAAAATGAAAGAAAGAGTATAAAAACCCCCTTCTGCATTGGGAAAAAAAAACATTGAAAGGGGTCACTGTGCACATGCTCCATGTATACACGGTAGCATTAATTGCACAAAACGCACGTGTCGAGGATTTTTGTTTCATTTTACTCGTCATTTGAGTACACCAGGCCTCACCTCCGAATTGTCCAAAAATTAACGCCAAGAGTTGTTCCGCCTTTTTTTTTGCAGCCCCCGATGGCGACAAACGAGTGCCACCATTTTGTTTGGTCTGAGGAAGGCTTGAGTGAAGTTAAAACGCGGGTGCAATTTTTTTTTTTTTCTTGACGACCGAGAGCGAAAGCGTAACATCATTTTGACGGAAATAAACGTCGAGGGGAGGAGTGAGTGGGGTAGACCATCTTGAGGTTGAAGGAGGAAGACAATAAGTCGGTGACATCCCGCATCTTAGAATAGTTTAGTATCCGCCTGATGCTTTCTTACTCAGCTCTCCCTCACCCCTCTCACTTCCTCCGTATTCTTCTCGTTTTTCTCCCCCTCCTTTTTATTCCACTCATATTTGAATTTTTTTTTTCTATGTTGCGTTGTTCTCAGTTGTCTCTTTCCATTTCGACTGCAGTACTTCTTGTCAGTGGACTCTCTTCGTCTTCTTTCCCACTAGGTTGGCATTTACGAGAGCATACCCGCGGTAATATGTCAAGTGTCGCTGTCAGTTTCCCCGAATTTTCGGAGATTTCAGATGGTCTCGTTTGGGGAATAATTTTTTTCCATTCTTTTGAAACTTCTGGTGAAATCTTAAGCAATTGTTCACTTCGTAATTTCACGTTTTTTTTAATTTCTCTCATCGGCAACTAGAGCAATCACTCTCTGCCTCTAAAGTTGTAATTTTTCTCACGTTTCTTACGTAATAGTCATGATAATTCATCTCGACGGCTCGTCATTGTCGCTGTCCCTGTTGCGGTGGATTCAGATCCATCACGCAAAGTTCAATGTTTAGCACCAATTATCATAACTTCATAAAAGAATGAAGAATCATAATACAACGAGACAAAAAATTATGTTAATTCGTGGATAGGCTACACGTGTCCTCCATTCGCTTTTTTTTTTCCCTCGTTTTACTTCACCTCTCAGTCTCCATTTTTCGTGTATTCGTGTGGGCAATGCTCTCGAATAAAGGGTTATTCATGCCCCACGGATTAAATGCCGAGAAAAAAAGAGAAAAGTACAAAAATAAAATGATGAAAAGAGTAGGGTCGAGTGAGAGGGCAGTATTAAGGGCCCCCCTTTCCCCCCCTGAAAAAATACGGGGTCTTTTCAATCCCTCGATTTTTTTTATTTCAAAAATTTTTTAAACCCCCCTCTCTCTCTCCTTGACATTTTTTTTTTTCGATCGTTTTTAAGAACATCGGAGAGAATAAAAGGGTTCCCCCAGGTTTATGAAAAGACGTCGGAGGCTGCGGGTCTCGCACACACATAACCCACGTTTTACTATATTCGGTTTTTGTCCTCACACGAGAATAATTTTTTTTCCCCAACCTATCTCTTAAGATTTGCCATTTAAGCCTGGTCACGTTCATTTTCCCCTTCCCCGGATGTTATCAATGTACCCCTCTCACCTGAGACACGTGGGTGGCACCAGGCGACGTACCCCCCGAAAGTACATGAGATCCCATTAATTCGGTCTTCATTCAATATTGAAAAAATTAAAAGAAAAAGATAAAGTAGTAGAAATTGCAATTTCAGATCTTCAAAACTCCCCCCTGGCTTTGTTTTCCGCGGCCATTTTTCTCCCAACAATTCTTTTGTCGCCCCCCTCCCTCCCTTCAAGACATAAACATACACTCGTGGGGGCCCCCCTCATCCGCGAAAAATATTCGACAATTTTTAAACTCGTTTTGCTGAACGCATTCAAACGGCGACACAAGTATTTCTCGGAATTAGCGGATGCGACGAAGCGAGAGACTTTTTTTTTTCTTACCCACTCCCAACATACTTTTGAAACTCCCCCGGTCTTCATATTCACGTTAGGTATTCCCATATGTACTCGTCCGAAAATTCGCAAAAAAAAAAGGCGAAAAATGATGGTTGTCTTTGAGCGCCCATTTTTGTTACGGATGGATGCGTTCCTTTCCGCCCCTCTTGAGACCTCCCGTATGTCTCCGACGACTTCCTTTTTCAACAGTTGGCACAATGCATCATTAATACCGTCTTGAGACTGGAAATCTTATTTGGGAGCGTTTGCAACTTTTTGGGAATTTCATGGGAAAATTTTTCGTCCGGTATTTGGGAGTGGATACTTACTCATTCTCGCAGACATAACGTTCATGCATGGCTTTTTTTTTACTGCTGGTTAGTCCCTTACGGTTTGAAATGCAGTGCCGACCAGTTTTTTTCGGTGTACTGCGTGGGTCGACGAACGTTTGGTCATAATTCATGATACCATCGTATTAAGATCACATTTGAATTTTATCCGAGTTATAGAGTGACATCTGGGGATTATTTTCTGAATTATTTGACTCCGTTAGAGGAATGATAACTTTTCGCGGTAATGGCTCGGTCGATGTACGACTGTTGTGGTAATCTACCTTACCGACTGTTGGAAATTTTTCTTGTTGACTGTCGAGCCTTTTAAAGTCGATAACACTCTGTCTGTACGGATCGGCGGAGCCTTTCTTTATCAACATATGTACATAATTATATCCAGTACCTGTGAGAATAAAGTTTTCGAATTCCTTTGCTTGCAGTATTACTGAGACAAAGTATGTCTCCATCAGCGGAAAATCTGATAAGTTCAAAATCACCAGCAGTACCCCAGCCGACGATCGATTACTCTCGATATGTTCGTCGTTTCGGATCAGGTCAAGAGTGCGGTAGTTCCTACTGCAAGGAGCTAGGCTGTCGCGAGCACTTTCACTGTCTTGACTGCAGTGGCCGTGTGTTCGTTAAAAAAGAAGAGATGATAAGGCACTTTAAATGGCACAAGAAGCGAGATGAATCGCTTCAGCATGGCTTCATGAGGTACTCGCCGACTGACGACTGCATGGAACACCATCCCATGCGCCAATGCCCCCATAATCGTAAACAGACTCATTACCACTGTATTCATGACAACTGCGATAAAGTCTACATATCAACATCAGATGTGCAGATGCACGCAAATTTTCACAGAAAGGATTCAGCAATTATTCAGGAGGGCTTTCAGAGGTACAGAGCAACTGAAAGCTGCTCCACTGATTACTGTCCTTTCGCTGGCCAACGAACCACGCATTTCCACTGCAGAAGGCCCGGATGCAGGTTCACCTTCAAGAACAAAGCCGACATGGGTGAGCATCACTTAAATATACCGTCAAATCGCAGTCGACTGATTTGATTGTACAGCCCCAAGACTATCCGTTACCTCTTATTTGAGTTAAACAATTCTTTCTAATTTCTCATTTCAGACAAGCACAAATCCTACCACATAAAGGACGAACAGCTATCTCGAGATGGCTTCAAGAAGTTCATGAAGAACGAAGCATGCCCCTTCGAGCAGTGTCGCTTCTCTCGAGTGTGCAATCACATCCACTGCATTCGACCTCACTGCAACTACGTACTGCACTCGTCCGGCCAGCTATTCTCTCACAAGCGAAAGCACGAGCGCCACGAATCCGAGTTGGCTTACCGAAAATACAAGCAGGTGGGTGGAGTAGGCATCAGGCCGCCAGTGTGGACACCTGATGATTTGGGACCGCAGAGCCTATCCCTCAGTATGAACGGAGAGAGTTCAAACGAGGGCAGAGGCTCACCATCTTTCTACTCCCTGGAGGACTCATTTCAATCAGCAAGCGATCTGGCAATGGACCTCACAGCTTCAACGACAACGACAAATCCAGGCTCCTCTATTCAAATTGATCCGTCTCAAACAGCTCCTCAGTCCCCTCAGCACCTGACAGCTGCTGAGCTCGCGTATCTAGCACCAGCTTCATCTGACTGTCTTTGTCAAAATGGCAGGGACCACTACCACTGCGCACTCGATCGCTGTGGCACAACACTGCGAAATCCCACAGAGATTCGTGAACATCTGCGGGAGCATGAGACACAGGAGCGAATAACTGACACCTTTTTCGAAGAGGGCAATTGCGAGGAAACGTGTCCGTACGCTGACAAGGAAAAACATTACCACTGCACGTGGGACAATTGCAAAGAGGTCATTCTTGCGACTGACAAGCCTTTCAGAAGACTCCAGCATTACAAAATTCACGAATACAGTAGACAACTCAATCTGAGCTCAACTACTCAAGTTCTCTCGTCAGATGTTACTCTAAGCCACCTGACTAACATTGACGCCATGTTCAGGCGAAAACGTGGCCGACCACCAAAGAATCGTGTGATCGAGATATGGTCAGGTGGTGATCTATCCCATACACAAGACTCACCCCAGGCTATATTCACAAGTTTCAAACTGCCAAAACCCAATCCCACAAATCCCAATCCACAAATTGATGATCATGAGGATAGCTTATCACCAGTTCCTGACGATACTGATGGCTTTTCAACCTATAATCCTGACACATGTCCCGATCCAGTCTGCGCGATTAGAATGACAAAACATCATCACTGTTCCCAACCAAGATGTCACTTCTCCACAGATAGGCCAGATCAGCTGCTAATGCACAGCAAGGACTTTCATGACAATGTCGACATACCACCGGGTTTTGCCTTCTACGATAAAATGGTGGATTGCAGATTGGTGGGTTGTCACAGTAACAGGGTGCACAGGCATTATCACTGCACAAGGCCCAACTGCGGATACTCGTTTGTCAGATATTCAACGATAGCGCAACATGAAAAACAACACGTGGGCATGAGCGATGTGGCTGAGGGCATCACTGAGACAGGTCAAGGTGTTTTGGAAATTAAGCCAAGGATTCAGGTGAAGAATCCGGCGGAGCTCATTGAGAAGGTCGACGAGGACGAGAGTAGATTAGTCATCGAGGTGAAGGAGGAACTACCTAGTCCTGATCCAAATAAAACAACTGGTGAGTTTTTCTGGTTAGGTAGGCACGAGCTCGCACCCTTATATAGGTTTTCAGTTTTTTTTTGTACTTAGTGTGGTAGATAGGGAAAGGTTTATCATATCGGAGACACTTGCATGTACGTCTGCACGAATTTGCACTCTTCATTGTGAATTATATCTTCATCACAGTTCATTATTTCCTTTGATTAACGATGAACCGGCGAGATTTTGGAAAAATAGTTATTTGACCTGTGCTCTTATGAACCCGTAGAAATAAACACATTCTGGAGCGTTAAGTGCAGTTAATGCCTGAGAACATTGTTTCGACAACATTAATAAAAATACAATTGATTTTCCTCCGCCTCACCTCCTACATTCAGTCATTGCCGATTCATCGTTAATAAGTAATTGATACTTTATCATGGAACAAGCATTTTGCATCACAAAGAGACATTAGTTGGTTGTTTATTACATAGAGACAAAAGGATCCTTGATCCAAGAATAAAAAGTAAGTACAAGGGTTCCTCGAAACAAGTGCTTTTTTCCTGGAAACAAGGATTCTCTCTTCTCTGTGTAAAATAGTTGGGCGGTATATTTGAAGTGTTGGTTGTTTTGGTTGATTGTTGCTAGTGGTGAGGGCGGCAGGCACCTATTATCCGGTCAGCGGACCGACGAGCGAACCCGCACTACCGGGCGCCATGCTATCCATCCGGGCTTCCGTGCACCAAGGTTCGTGCCACCTTTCCTCCTTCAGTCCACAAAAAAAAAACAACGTAGAAAGACATCCCGGGATTCTCCCCTCAAAAAGCCCAACGTAATCGTCTGATTTTCATAATTCCAGAGGCACCAGTGCTTCCGTCAACGAGTTCATCCTCTCCTCACACGCTGTACGGGCCTGAACAAAGCTGCAGTCGTCCATTTTGCAAATTAAAAAGAAAAAATCATTACCACTGCAACGCCTGTAATCAAGCATTCTCAGAGCTCGATCGCTTGATCGCTCATATTGCGAAACACTCAACTGGGGCTATATTATCACAACAGCAGCACGATTTGCCACCGCAACCGTCAAATCCTATGCCTCACGATTACCTGGCGCAACTATCGGCCCAGAAGCATGATTTTATGTCCCAGAATGTGCAGATGGCACAGAACATACAAAATTTTCAGAACATGCAACGCCAGATGCAGCAGAGTCTCTCCCAAATGACGCAGCAGCCGCCAATCAAAGACATTAAACTCGAGTCACCGCGTCACGAATCGAACAACCAGAACAACGTGAAAAGAGAGCCTGACGTTCTCCGCGAGGAGAATCACCACCATTTAGATAACAATGAGAATGGTCAGTTGCAAGTGCCACCATCAACGGGGCCAGTGCCAGGATCAGTACCAAGTGGTTTTGAGCTAGAGCTATCCCACGGTTTTTTTCCGAGTCCCGCAGTGATGGTGGCAATGAACCAACAGTTGGCTCTTATGAATCAGGCACTCCCGCCCTTTCTGCAACACGGTGGAATGTACGCAGGGGCACCAGGTCTCATGTTTGCCCCTGGCATTCCTCCAGGGAACTTTCTACCACCAGGAAGGGATGAAAATCCCCTAGCCTCTCTCGCAGCCAATCTGAATCTAACAAAACGACCGCTCCCACCGTCTGACACCGATTCGGCTGAGGTGAAAAAACAGAGACTCCATCACTCCATGCGCATGCTCAAAGACGAGCCTGTGCCTGAGGGCTACGTCAGGTTCAGATTCAACGAGGACTGCAGGTATCAGCACTGCGGCTACCGAGAGCATCAAACGCACTTTCACTGTATGCGCCAAGACTGTGGCTACTCATTCTGCGATAAAACGAGATTTGTCCAGCACACGGCTAGGCACGAGAGGCTAGACACCCTGATGGGTGGAGATTTTCAGCAGTACAGGGCGAATGTGCCCTGTGGTAGGGCTCAGTGTGCCTACACCTCGTCACTCGGCTCGATGCAGAATAAAGCATCACACTTTCACTGCTTGAAATGCGATTTTGTTTGCACTGATACTAACAAAGTCGTTGCCCACAGAAGGCAACACGCCAAACTGGATAACATCGCGGCCGCTGGCTTCCAAAAATTCACACCAAGTCAACCCTGTGGTGCCGTCCAGTGCCAGCATTGCAGAAAACAGACACATTATCACTGCCTCCAATGTCAATATGCTGTACTTGGTCTTGCGCAGATGTCTGCGCACAAGTACCGACATATGGATGCGTAAGGATTGAGGTTAGTTTTTAGTATTAAATAATTGGGGGAATCCCCGTTACTGAGGTGGGTAAAATTTTGCGAGTCGTGGCAGTTTGATTTGTCTTGGGAAACTAGGGGAAATTGTAACGAATGTAAATCGTACTAATGTGTTTCTGAGGATTTAGATGACTAGACGGAGATGTGTATAATTAATCGTATTTACAAGCAGTATTTAGAAACACGAATTGACGAAAGACTGGGGCTGATGGCGAGTGGTAATTGGGGGAATTCAGCCGTTCTTTTTATTTCAAATAAATCAGGAATTGAAATATCGTGAGCTGTTCTTGTTCTGTACAACGAGAGATGTATATTAAATATAGTGTATGGGAGATAAAAATATACTCGAAAATGTTAATTAATTAAATGTAGAGGGGATTTAGGTGGAGTGTGAATATATTATCTGGAGAATGTAATTTTAATTGTTCAGAGAATGTTAAATTGATGCTCAACCCGAGAGATGTCCTCTGATTTGACTCGAAACGAATAACAACGTAGAAGAGAATATTGAGATATTTAAAGAAGACACTGAATATTTTTTGAATACTAGCTCTAGCCTTTTCAAGTAATAGGGTGCCTTTAGGGTTGTATCCTCCTGATTTCTCTTCAATTTTTAGGAACAAAGTGCGTGCCTTATGCGCAACACAAGAACAATAATTAATTTAAGACTCGATTCTGAAAAAATCCGTAACTTACGTCAATGGAGAACTAAATTATTGTGGACTTAATGTGTTAGTGCCTTAAAAGAGGACATAGAAGATATTCTCAAGCCTAAAAAAAAACAGGTCAATGAGGTATCCATCAAGCCCTGAATTTTTCTCAATAAAAAAAACAGTTTGAAACCACTAGTGTAGACTTTTACGTTAAATAGTAGCCATTCCATAGGAAGTACACTGATAGTCATCCCTCCAACCAATCAGGTTTCACGATTGAGGTGAAAAATAAATGAAAAGAAGTCTGTGGAGAAAATCGAGAAGGCAATACGAATGAGTGAATTTCAGAGCAAAAACATGAATGACCATACGTTGTGGTATTCTAGGTAATTCGAGAACACCACAATTTGTTTTATTAATTCTTTCAGGTTGAAACCACTCGGTGCGCTAAAAATGGGTATTCCTGGTTTGGTTGGGTCATAGAAAGCCATATGAGTGCCATACCACGAGTAAACACGATTTAAAATAATTATTCTTAGAAGAATGAAGGGCTCACCATGGGGCGTTAAACGCGCCACCTATGAAGTCATTCACTAGAAAAATCCTTCTTACTTTCTTTACTAAAAAAAAATCTCAATAGAAAAATGAAAACGTACGTTTCCCATCAGATGTCCAATAAAATTGGTTGAAATGAATTTTTCTATTGAATATTTTTCGTACGTGAGAGATTTCATGATCAATGATCCGAGGTGGAAAATGGCAGAGTTCGTTTTAGGGGTTGTAAAATATTTATTTAGATTAGAAAGGGTTTACTTTTGTTTTTGTAACGAGTCGCGGACTGGTTTGGACTTTTTCCTTCATCCCCCCCTGTATCATGTATCACCCGTTTCGAGAACGAGGAGGTGGAATTATGATTAATGTAGTAGACGTATCCTAGATTTTAAACGAGAAACAAATTATGAGAACGTATGGGTATAAGTATTATTATATGAATCATTTTAAAATGATAACAATTGAGAAACAATTGTGACGTGCATGTGAGTTGTAGTGACAGAAAGATACGACAAAAGCTATTATTGTAATTGATAATTTTATCTATTGTATCATTATTGATTAATATCATCTATTATATTATAATTATTATTGATGAATACACACGAACACAAACACCTTTTATGTAGCTGTGATTTTGCTTTGGAAAAGTGAAAATTAAACAAAAATATGATATTTATAGCAAGAATTATGTATTTTTCTTTGCAGTTCGCGTCTCTCGATTTATTCATCCCACCTGGTGTTCCTCTCCTTGACCATGAACTTACCACTTGTAGTTATGTTGCGGAGGGAGAGGAAATGAATTTTTTCCCGGTGCGAATTCATTACGTGTTTTAATGACGGACAGCAGCCTTCGCTCTTCAAGGAACGAGGGAAAACGAGTGATATTTATGATATACTTCTTTGCTTGTCATCTCTGCATTTTCCAATCATTATCTCAATCATTTTTTTCAATCTGATAACAATGAAGTATGTTTGATGTTATGGCGTAGAAAAAATACGAGAATTATCTGTCTCGCGTCTATTTTTAAATTTCCATTCGCGACATGTGCGCGTTCGGCACGGATATCCCCACAGAACGTTTAATGTCAATGCAAAACTTTTATCCAGAGAGAATGTCAAGCTGATGCAAACCACTGGAATTATTTCCGCTTGTCTGCAAACACACTAGCTCGTATTTCACTCCATTAAATTTTCCAATTTCTTGTAGATTCTGAGATATTGTTTATCGGTCTTCCCAAGAAGTTGTCATCAAAATTACTTTAATTGGACTTTGACCGTTCAAACTCCACGATACCCATTGCATAATCTTTGTAATAAATACGCGAACTTAATGAGTGAATTATCGTAAAGACTCACGATCAAATTCCGTATTTCGTCATTGAAATTTGTCCCGTCTAGCCACGCGTCCTCCCTTCTGTATCTTTATTCCAATCGTCTACTCCTTCTCACTGAGACTGATAAACAACGAGTGATAAGATACACTCACTCGTGGCGCATTTGTCTAGACCCATGTTTTAACACTTTTTATGGGTCATTCGGGCAGACACCCGCGATGGCATTGAATGATTCAATTTTAGACGACATTGTTTTCGTTGTAAACACGAAACGGATGAATGATGCGGGTCCAAGGTACTCTCGGTCCGAATCACGTTTCGAATTCGTGAAAGGGATGTCCAGAAAATTGAATCGACAAAAGCTAAACTAGAATTCGTAGAACATTACCTGAAAACCGTAAAAAATACACTCTTGTCTATTTTATTCGCAAATATCACCGAATATAAAGGAGATACATTTTTTTTCAATAGGACCTTTTTTACGGGGCGATCCGAGAGCTACAAAAAGTTCTTCAGAAATTTCCGGGGATTTTTAATGAATCTCTAGATATTCGCGTTCTCAAATGCCGCGCAAAGTCGGTCGACGAGAGAAGCTGCCAGAACAAACGCTAACAGCTTTAACCAGCTTCAAGGGTCTCAATTGTTGCCCCTGCAATCAATAGATACCCTGAGCGTGCTCACGTACGTTCAAAACCGGTAATACCCAATACAACTAACCATTTACAGTGGCCTTGTCAGAATTGTGACGCACAAGTCCAATCATCCGGACTCTATCCCATCATGCACATGCAACTTAGGACTTCCCCGTCATAAAAATCCTTCATCATTGCATAACTCCTGAGAAAGAATGTCAAATTAATGCCATACGATCAGAATTATAATGATTCAAGAAAACAATTTCAAAATGTGCAGTAATGATTTCAATTTGTTTTTATATTTATTATATATTTTATTCCAGTTGTTTCTACCATGGGAGAAGAAAATGTGAATTTTTCATTGTATTCTTTTAGGGTAATCTGACCGATTATTTCCTGAGTACTGCATTTGTGAATCATGCAGGAATTTTTATTTGTGTATTTTGGTGTATTTATCTAGGGCCGCTGTATCTGTAGAATTATTCATGTTCTACTTGCACTAGCGTGCGGGATCAACGAATCGTTGCGTAATTCTCTGAGCCATGAGGTAAAGTACGATGACGTATCGACCCAATCCATTTTTATTTTGGCTCCTTCTCACCGGTGTGTCATTCTTTTTCATTATTTTGTGTTATAAATTCGCGTGTTCTCCAGCGAGAAAAGTGGAAAGCCGGAGCGATTGAAAATTTGTTACATCCTATTTTATCGTTAGCTCATGAAAATTTCGTCGTTAAAATCGTTGAGTGCCAGTGGATGATGAAATTCACTTGTATCATTTTTTTTTTTCGAGGGTCTATACTTCGTTGGATAATTTTTTCTAGCGGAGAAAGGTCGAGCTATCCACATATACTTCACCTCGGTTGTCATAAATCTCGAATTATCCAATTACGAAGTGCAAAGGACAATGTTACATCAGTCCAATGCATTCTGAAATTCAATAATTCATTGAACTGAATTGTCCATCCAGATCACTGCAATCGCGGTAATTGTGGGATAAAAAATAGCATGTCTGTTGCAATAATTTTTTGCGCATGAGCTGTCTCCATTCCGTTGGTTATTGGTCTCTGGAAAAAATTCTACATATTTAATCTATTAAAAAAAAAATGTTATGTCTTGTCAATTATCTCATGAATTTTTTTGCAAAAAATGAAATTGTATTTTGTGAAAAATTTTAATCTGCAACTAATTTCTGCAAATGTTGCAGAAATTTAGTCTCCAATGAAACGTCTCGTGTTCGAGTGTAAAAGTATGAAAGTATTAAAAATATCTTTGTATCTGTGATCTGTAATATAATCTTTGTATCTGCAAAGCTGACGAAGGGAAAACGTCGCGATGACTCACCCTGGAAAATACCTACTGAGCAGTTCCATACAATGACCCACCCCAACATCACTCCAGACGATCACGTGAATGATAATCAAAAGTACAACTGAACTTGACAGATTTTCCGATATCAATCACTCCTGAAACCTTGAGCCATCGTTCTCCATCTGGCGAATGGATGCATGATCTTTCCACTAATCATCAAGAACACGTAAAAAATTCATTCTCCGAGTATTCCGATAACAGCTATCACGCCGTACTTTTTCCGCGTTCTCAATCGTGCAAAAAAAAACAATGAAAAAAACTCAGTATTTTAATTACCAATATCAAGACCGAAAATGACTTTCAGATAAAAGTCATAAAAATTCTCCTAATCTCATCACAAAATGCATGAATCATTGATTATTAGAAAAAATTAACGATAAACCAGGGTTGATCCCCGGCGAGCGCGTGATCCTGGTAGAAAGCGAAGCATTAAATCGAAAATTTTCCGCGATCTTTCAAAATAGAATTCCACTGATGCAATATCAAAATCAAAAATTCCACGGCAATCGCAGAATCCCCGAATGCAATTTGTCCTCTCTCTCAAATTTATAAAGTTCTCGATTCCAGAACAATGAAGCAAACACCCCGACTCCTCGACCCTTTTAGCAAAACCGAAATCCCACGTGGAGGAAAAGGAGTCCCTTTCCTCGTGAAAATTCTCAGAAATGCCCGAGTGATCACGTGAACAGCAGCATTTGTCCACGTGATTGCCGGATGGTCGTCTGGGCTTTAAGGGCTGTCTAATAGATTCAGATAAAAAAGGGAAGCCCAACTATTGGCCAGGTCCCCCAGACTAGTGGACAACTGCCCAATGAGAGAGCGAGAATTGAAAAAGTAGTTCAAGCGCATCACGAAGTCGGCGCTGATGTCATAGCCCCTATGAATCGACCAGTCGTGTCTCCTCGACACCTCAGTTGTTGTTCGTCTCTCGTGTCCTGCTGATCCTATCAACAGAACAAATAATTCAACCAATAATATTTATTCAGGACTAATTATTGAATTGAAACTCACGAGTGTCAGGAGGTTGTGGATAAACGACTATGGGAATATTTCGTGAATTTCCGATAGTTTTCAATCTATACAAAAAATACAGTTAGTCTGTTCGAGATATTGTTGATGTATGGGTGGTTATTAAGGCTGTGATAGGGTGGAAAATACGATACGCTTCCAGGAATATATTTCAAGGTAATTTTTATTTTTCACTCGTTAAACCGCATCGGTTAACAGCATGGCCGACAAACGGAATCTACTGTTTATACATGTGACTTGGGATGTGTGAGGGGGAATTCTACCGTAAGTCGACCTGGGCGACGTAGAGGGGATCCATTGCGATGTTTCAGAGATTTTTTGGGTAACTGGAGCTTGGCATTACCAAGGCTGTCCTAAATTCATAAATATCCCAGTCACATGTCGCTTAATAAAAAAAAATCATTATCCTTTTTTGGAGAACATTTAATCCTCTACAAAAAATGTTCTCCGAGTTTTTCCCTCAAATCCATAATTTCTGAAATAATTCACCATTTCTTGCATTGACCACAAAATCAATTTGTCTTTCAATTTCGTCAGCTCTCATTTGTACGTCAATATTTTTCCGATTACTCTTGCATAATATTTTTATGAATGAAAAAAAATGGAGTGGAGAAAAAATAGTTAATCAATAATTAATCGAAAATGAAGTTCAAAGATTATCGGAAATACCGACGGCTCGTGGTGCACTGAATAATTATATTTTCAGTCTCCGATGGGTTTCAAGAAGTTTAGCACGTAAATTGCTAGTGGCTCGAGCCCCTTTGTCTCCACTGGGGATCATTAACACCTGTATTTGCTCGTCTAACATCTCGAATATCTTTCATTATCTGCCCTCGTCTGTTTATCACCTTTCCCCGCAAATGAGTAACTGCTAATACTTCTTTCATCATTTTTTTATCGGCGAGAAATTTTCGCCCTCGATATACTATCAAGATTTTGGTATGTTTCAGAAGTGATAACCCTCAGGCAAATCCACCAAAACAAGGAATTCCGCATTCAAGTTTAAAAATAATAGATACCAGTGATATATAACGAAAATGGAAGCTAGCAGGCTGTCATCACAACCAACGCTAGTACGTCGAGTTTCTGATTTATTCAGAGGTAATTAACTCCATTCACTTAATTATATTCAAAGATATTCCAAAGCAGACGTAAACACATAAAAAATCCCATAAAATAATCGGGAGAGTTCGCTTGGATATTTTATTGTGCTCGTCTTCAATTTTTTTTATTTATTCTAGTCAATAGAAAATATTCTGCGTGAAAAATTAATGAACGAATCAATTGTATTTTTTTCCACGACTTGTGAGAGGAAAGGAGAGATAAAATGTGTGCAATTGAAAATTTAGGAAACGACAACAGTTTGAGGAGATTGAGATAAAAAGGCAACCCCCAGAATCACTTGCACCTAAAAATACGTATATCTCATTTCAGATGGCAACGCAAGTGGTTCCCAACTGTTCACCCACTCGTCAATGCAAAAACTACGTCACTGCTGCCAGAATCTCAGCCTCTTCCCCTATCTCTTGTACTCCCTTGGTGACATGAAAAATACGAGTCAAAAGCAAACAATAAATCAGCTAATATCAAAATTAACGGCTCGCCTCATCCAACTCTACTTGGCAATACGTCTGAGTGTTCACCGTAAATTGCAACCAGAGACACCAAAGCCATCACCAGAGGCTCTAAAAGTTAATGTTAAATTCACCAAATTCGAGATACAGAAGAGAAAACAAAACTCATTACTGCTGATACTGGCTGTTTATCTTGCACCAATTGTTCTCTTATTTCAACTCATTGGCATTTTATCGTTACTCGTACTCGGTAAACACACACCGGGCTTTATTTTTCTGCTGTCAGCTCTTCTCTTCCTCGGTTATATATCAATGAAAGTGCTGTCTCATGACAATGATAATGAGGAGTACAAAAAACGGGCTAAACGAAAAATTGATTGAACCATTTGCTGACCAAATGTTCATCGTTTACTTCGAGCCCTAAATATTTTTTATACTGCATCAAATCATTCATATGTTTCATCCCAGATTTATTTTGTTAATAATTCATTACGATAGTTCATTTAGTCATTTTTTTTCTGGTTATCCGTTAATACTGGAGATTCTAAGAACAAGATATTGTGATCAAATCAATCAGTTGAAAATCAAGGTTGCTTTCACTAGATTAATCTTTACATTATTTTAAATTAGGGCGTATACTTAAAGACCACATAATCATGACTTCAATCTGTTTTTTTTTCATTATCAACGTGTTTTTTCATCTCGTCAGCTCAAAGTGAGGGATTGATACATAAATCTACGAATTCAAATGATATGAATGTTGAATATGCAGCAATAAGACTGAATATTAAATATTACTGTGTACTGTGGAAATTTTTTTTTTGTATATATAAGAGGCACGCGGAAGTGATTGAAATACATTTAATTAATTAATTCATGACTCCTTTATTGATCGATTGCAGTCTACATTTGCGATTTCCAAAAATACTGAACCCTTCCCCTGATTAATATTACAGAATGATTTACGATTAAAAGGACTTACGACTTCATTGAGTGTTTTATCGAGAAGATTGAGATTAGTCTCATCGATATCACAACGATAATACTGATATGAATACTGCGATCAGCGCTATCACTACGATCGAACTTTCTCTGGAGAAGGATGACTCATTAGAGTACGGACCTATCTTAGCTGCATATCCGATCACGTGTGCGACGTAGTTCTGCTCGTGAGTTGAATGAAACAAATGGGCGAATGGTCCTAGAAGATAATCCAGTGTGAAATAATTTATCTCTCGTAGAATCCGAGACATATTTCCATAACTGAAAGATCGATGAAAAGATATACCTATTGCATAAATCGGTACGTCCCCACCCCCGTGATAAGCCTCATCAGTGATAACAGCCGCTTGTTGGCTATAAGTGAAGTCACTGGTGTTGAATTTTCTCGGATCAATTCTCGAGGCTTTCCCATTCTTCACTTCGTAAGCCATATTGTTAGGGCCACCAGTGCCGTACGTTAATATCGTGTACGGAATCTGATCCGTCTTTGATTTTTGTGATAAGCCTAGATAATTATATAATAATCGATTAAAAGGTGAAGGTCGATTCGATAAATTGATGTGTGAAGTTAGAAGTTGAATTATTCACCTAGAATAGACGACCCTCTATCGCTGTAACCATTGAACATCAGAGAATGCGAATGATCGCTTGTAATAATTACCAGAGTGTCCTTGAGATCAACCATCTGCAGAGTGGAATTAACGGCATCGGATAGCCTGACGGTCTCCCTGAGTGCCTGAGCGGCATGTCCTCGATGATGGGCGAAGTCGATGAGGCCACCCTCCACCTGTAACCCCCAGTCTCCATAAATTTCCACTCCAGTTATCGCAATTGTCCGGCAAAAAAATCGGGATAAATGGAAGGGCCTAACGATCACCACCGTCTCAAATGATTACCACAAGTAAGAAGCCATTCTTCTCCTTTTTCAATACTTTGATGGCCATGGACGTCATCTCCTCGAGACTGGGCTGGCCATTAGGCCCCGTATTCCTGTTCCAATCCATACTGATGTGACCGTTTGCAAAAATGCCCATGAGATAATCAATCTCATCGGGATCCACATTCCTCAGCTCGTTGTTATTCTGAACTAACGTGTACCGAAGTCCTCTTGAATCCTTATCAGCCTTCCAGAGAGACAGGAGATCCCTTCCGTCTGAGCTGTAGCAGGCCCACTTGTCTATGGGATCCCATTTGGTGGCTGTTGCATTGGACTTCAGCATCTGCCTCCCACCGCCCATTATCACTCTGATGTCCCTCCCTGGAGAGTCCTCGATCAGCTGACGTGCAATGTCTTTGCACTCGCTCGATGATTTCGGCACTTCCCGTTCGCACTCCCATTTCCGGTTTGGACAGTGGGCGTAGAGAGGAGCGGGTGTCGCGTGAGTGACTCTCGTTGTTGTAACGAAGCCTTTCCCATAAAAAAATTGAAAATAATTATATGGCCTATAGGAATTAGAACTGGAAATATTCTAAAAAATCTGAACAAGAACTGAAGACACCTGTAGCTTTGCCAGCGTTTTGGGCCCAATCTATTATCGAAGTTAGACGGTAATCATCATTCAAACTCGCTTCGCAATCATTAAGTTTGACATTGCTGTCGACCCCCACCACCTGGAAATATAGACAGACAGCTTTTCGCAATTGTTGATTAAATTTTGATAATAAATTTGTCCATCGGTACCTGATAATTTGTCTTAACACCGGTAAACAGCGCTGTCGCGGTCGATGCTGAATCAGGCACTTGCTTGTTGGTATTGTACGTCTGTCGGTAAAATGATAAATCATGATTACAATGATAAGGATGAATTTCGCACTGAGTCACTGACCTTGATGAGACCCACGTGGGGTAATTTTTCCCACGCGAGATAACTCGTCTCGCCCCTATGATAAATTCTGCTAGCTGTGATGGTATCAATGCTCATGCCATCGCCCACAAAGATGATAACATTTTTAGCGATTTTCTTGTTCCATTTGTGAGATAGCGCCTCCTTTATCTCCCCCGACGCTGCGTTCCTCCAGAATTTTGCATCTTTTACAGCGGATTTTAAACAATTAATCATTAGTTATCGAGAGATAAAGATATTTTACGGATTGTTATTTTCGGGCTTCACCTTCCAATGCAAAAATCGCGTGAAAATTCAGGATTAGGAGAAAAATTTTCCACATGATGCCGTGATTTACTGCCACCGACTAACAGTTATTCTCACGACGGACTGATTGCGTCAGCATTATGTAATGATAAGGAATTGAATCACTCATTATCATCGGTTATGATAACAGGTGATGAGCCAGCTTTTCAGAGATTACCACGATGACTCGAAATATTCTAATTCCACCCGGTTTTATTGTTGTTCCTAATGTTTAAATATTCGACCGTCGGTAGTGCCATCTCAGGGGATTCCCGGAACTCCTGTAGTTCCCCGAATAGTTTATCCGAGGTCGATCATGAACTGCACGCGTTGCAGATGTCTTATCACAGATGTCACTGGACCGCACCTTTCCGGCATGACTCACTCCATTAAAATTATAAATAAATAAATTGCAGAGACGCACGTCATCCGGTGTCGGTTATTTTTTATTTATATTGCAAATGCAAATTTTTTTATATTTTTATACCGTAGGGGGATGATTGTTATTTTTTTTTATGGAGCATATTATATTCGACATGATTTATTGAAATAGAATTTCAGAGAGCGATTCAGCAACCGATGCATTTTTTTTTTATTGTTAGAGTCGTCCAATAAAAACCGAGTGATGAAGAATTTATTGATCGTCTTATATTCCCCTCGGGTTTTCGGTCACCGAAGAGATTGAAGATGGTGGGTAGTTTTTATGTTGCAGACAATCAGCTTCATTCCTCCCTCTCAGTAAGGGCGAGGGTGAAATAAAGGGTGAAAAATGGTCGGAGCGCATTAAAGGGAGAGACCCCTTCCTCCAATCGAAAACACTGGATTTAAAAAATGGCTGATATTTTTACGATAAAAAAAAGTCGAAATGGCAACGAATTTATTCAATTTTTAATCCACTAGAGATATTATTCATGGAATTACAAATTTTCATTATGGTATCGGTATTGAATACGCAAACATCCGATGGGAAATTTGCGTTAATTAATGATTAGATGTAATATTCGAGTGATTTTTATTTTCTGATGTTAATGGGTCTTGATTAAATGTAATTATTGACGTTCAGGTGCGGCTGTTTCACTGGTGTATGCATTAGTAATTAATAAATAGAATGTAATGAATTGGTGTGTTGCGCGTTATTACGGAAGCGATTGATCCTCCCTCGGGCTCTCATCCAGCGGTCAACCGAATCGATATTCAATCGAGAGCTGGGATAAAGCTGAACCACCACTAATTCCACTAATAAATAACGTATTTTTAAATAATGCCATTTTAATTCAACCAATAGATTATTCCTCAATTAAAATGTCAGACTCTTAACGAATTTTTAATAGCACTAGAATTATCCGGAGTATTTTCATCGGCTTGCGATTTGCGGTTGCAGATAAATATTAAACCACTGATTTCAAGACCTTCTGGTCTGAAGGCTCGCGATTATGTGCGACGGCTCCTGAATTTTTAAGCCCTGGCCACTGCAGAGGGAAAAGGGTTACAACAGAGAGACGTGTTTGACCGGTATGCTAATTTGCCGGACCCGGAACTCAAATTACAAAACAATTTTTTCGGTTTAGTCCCTTGTATCCTTTAACATCAAAAATCACCAGCTGGATATTTATCCCAGCAACTGCCACAAAAAAAAATGTGCGAATAATTGCAATAAATTGTACTGGCATAAATAATAAAATAATAGTGAAGGAAGAAGACGTGTATGAATATTCATAATATGAAATTATTGTTTAGGGTTGTGGAATAATCGATATCTAATTGTTTTGAGGTGCGATCGCGATTTTTTTCCAGAGCCGACGGTTCTGTAATTTCTGGCAAAATACAATGGCCATCTCGTAGTAAAAGTTTATCCCGGAGAGGTACGGCAGGTCGGCGTTATAAACAAGAAAAGCCTTTAAATTTATGGTACAATTAAAAACTCAAGGCTTTATTATTTCCCGAGGATCCTCCGCTCCTGTGATATTCTTTTGTGCGGACTTTTCTCTTTCCTCTTTATTCCACTCGAGAGGACATTATCGTATCATTATTGTAGTCCCACGTATATTCCGGTGTAAAAATACTAGATAATTATTCCATCAAACACTTTTTAATATTTATTTACAATGAGTTCTAGTGTACCTGCAAATTCTTTGGAAATCGGATGTAATTGTAATTATAATTCTCCGAGGATTCATTTTATTTTATTTTTTTTATTCTGGTGGGTGAGAGCTGCACCCCTCATCATCCGCGGGGTGGGGAAGATAAAAAAATCTACCCCTTGGGACTTGCCTCGTGAAATCTACCCTCGCGGGGTGTAAAAACTGGTGGAAAAAGAAATGGATTCCGAATGAACGAAGTTTTCATCGAGAAGTCGAGGGCTTTTCTTTTATAGCCAACAGTTTTAATCGAGGCGAGATAGATTCAGCTGTGAGGTGAAAATTTTCCAATTAAAACTCAGGGTGAAACTGTTTAAAACTTAAAAACACCGGGAATAAAGTTATATACTGACAAGCCAGTCCGGCCCATTATCGTCTCACAAGGGGTTGTACGAAAGTTTGATGAATTATAAATTTTAACCCGCCATTCATTACTTCCTATCAATTTTCGTAAAAGTTTTTTTGTATAAAACACTAATTTTCAGGACTAATCAATTGAAAAAAGCGTCATTATTGATAATTAATTGAATAATTTCTAATGAATCCAAATAATTAATGAGTCCCAGTAGGAATAGCTCTCTGGGAACTCCGCGATTATTTATTTATTATCGGTGATTATTTATGAAGATGGGCGCTCTCAGTTATCGACTGAGTTGAATATTTTTTACCATCACGAGAGACCGAAAGAATTCAGTGGCTGTTTTTTCTGCTATCAACTCAGTCGATAAGAAAATATAAAAGAATCGAGGGCAGAGGGCAGCAGTTGTGAGTGCCGCAATGGAATATTTATAAACTTCATAATCCATAATAAGCATTCTCAATGCAAATAAAAAGATATTAATCATCAGAATGAAATAATAGAGTGAAAAATTGATAATAACCGTGTATAATTATTTATAAATATTTTTAAATGAAGAAAAACTCTAAAAATTTATAGAATCGTTGAATAAACGAAGTCTTCTCACATTTAGGGTAGTTTGAGGTGAATGATCTGTCGTTATCGAATTCACCGAATAATAAATTGATCATTCAAATTTTACGAGTCCCGAGTCGAGTTATTTCCACCCCTCGTGCATTAACCTCCCACATCCGAAATTCTATTCCCACTTAATTTTCTTATCAATCCGACAGTTTGCTCAGCCGTCACTCAAAATATCCCCACAAATTGCATGAATTTGGTCAAGACATTTTGAAAGGTCTTCGCTCATTCTCCGAATTAATGAATTAATAACGGGACATTGCAAATGCAGCGGTACTCTGACACTATTTGAGATGACTGAAAAAATAAACACATGAGAAACTGGAAATTTGCACGCCAGGAATATTTGAGGGAGTCATAAAAATTTGAACTTTCCACCGCACCACTCTAAGTACAGCTAATTCAAAATGGCGGCACAGCCACCCCTATATCATTCACTGAGCAACCCCTTGAGGCACCCTCTCAACCGAAAATGGAGGCGGCCTCGGCTTTCTTTTGGGGTGGGGCATACATTTTTTTTTCTAAACATGGCGTATCCATTATATTTTCTAATTAAAAAAACATGGAACAGATTATTTACAAGTCGACATTTTTTCACGGTTCTTCCGTGGATAAAAAATTCTCCGTTTTGTTTTTTTTTTCAGAAATGTTTATTGCGGAGGAATAGTAAAGTGCGTTGTTGTTATGCGAGAAATTTCGGCTTGAATAAAGGAGAGTTTGGGGAAACCGAGATTTCGTATGTAAAAGCGGCCTGGACGCCAGAAATTCCACGAAAATAGTTGGGGATTGACCCTCTTGCATATGCAAAATACGTGAGAGAATGTACATTTTTTTATGTACCCGCTTGATTAATCATTATCCTGATTTTACTGGATCCAGTGCAATTACAAAAATTTATAATTGAGGTGATACCTGAGGTTTCCGTTATCCAAAAAAATAATCCCAATCGCACTGAGCGAAACAATCACTGATCATTTTATTTCCTTGATTAGTAGATAAATAATTTTTTAATTGATGTATTTAATGCTGCGAGTGATTTATTTGTGATTGATTTTTCGATTTTTAAACTCTCGGTGTCGAAAAAATCGGTGGAAATTTAATCGAGTTGTTTCACCGCCAGCCGATTGAATTACCGGCGAATTTTCCCACGGCTGAAAGCCTACTGACCTTTCCCCAAACTTTTTCATCCCCTTAAAACATCACGGGATTTTTCCAACCCCCATGAACGCACATTCCCTCATTTTTACGATTCTGCGCGGGTTAAAATCCACTTTTTTACCCGTTAAAGAGTCTGCGCGTGATTTTCTCTTGACAATATTTTTCCCTCCCTCAAAGCAAAAAATATTGGGTAACAGCTATAAAAAAATTGGCCTCACTGAAAACATATTTTTCTAAAAATTTCCTTGAATAACGCCCGCTGATTATCATTACATATTGAATTTTGAATTTTCTGCTTAGAAAAATTCAATTTCACTCTCTCGCTTTTCCACCTGAAAATCGAGGACGGAGACCTCGAGAGTGACTCGAACTCGATTAGGACGCTATTAACGGACCCAGAGTAGTTTGCGAAAAGAGGAGGTGCGGGGTGGACGAGAGGAAGATTTAATGGGATCAGCAAGCACTCGTTTGGAAGGGTTTTGAGCTATTTCATCCACAACCAGTTACAAACAAGTCAATCTCATTATCGCCGGTTGATCCACTCAAAAAATATTGATTCCATCCCGATAAATCGATGATCAAGTTTCAAAAACCGAGACAATCCCAAGTCACCATCCGAATAATTCTCCCCCATATCAAATCCACGGCAATACCGCATACTCCTAAAGATCAAATTAAATTGATCAGCGAATAGAACATTTTCCAATCCAATGATATGTCAATCAATTAAAAATTAAAAATATCTAAATAAAAAATAAAAATTGCAAACATAATTTACCCACAGTGTAATGTTAGTCGTGGAAAGAGCGTTGGCTTTGCTTTTTACACCCCGTAATTTGGGAATATTCATAACCCGGCCATATTAATCTCCTAGAATCCCGTATTTCTCCCTTCTCGTTAACCCCCACCCGAAAAGTTGGCCG